AAGTTTTAAGTTGATGGACGTTGCAGTTCCCAAATCTTCGCAGTGTTTTACTGGTAATAGAAAAACTTTCGGATTAAAGATATTATTATTTATTCAACTTCGTTATATCTTTTCTAGGGATTTTTATACTAATAGGTAAAAGTTGATGAGGACATCTATTATAAATGTAAAATAACATACTAAGGAATGACGCCATAAAAATGTGCTTAATTTAATGAAAATGCTTTCCATTTATTTAGGAAAAACATCAGACTTTCCAAGAGCTTTCCCTGATCATGATCGCTCTAATGAAGCCCTGTTTTGCAATTGAGATATTGTATTTTATCTTTTTTTTTTTTGGAATGCAGTATTGTCTAACCTCGTCATAAAATATTCAAATTTTTAATAGGCAGAATTTTAAATTAGAAAGAAATTGAAGCAATCATTTTCTAGAGATGGAAGATCACAAATTTTTGAATATTTCTATGGTGAATCTATTACAACCAAATAATTATTTGTAATAAATAGAGTTTCAGTTAATCAGAACATTTGTTCTACATTATTACTTATTAGCATTATTATTATTATTATAATTATTATAAATTTGTGGAATTATGCTCCATTGTAAATAATGTGGGTAAAATATTATATTATAATACAATTAATTTTGGTTTTTCATATGTTCACGCTATGCATCATCAACATCTTTGTTCACCATTTTTCGTTAATAAATTGCCGAAGTGAATTTTGATATGGTAGACTAAGTATTAAATACATATGTTAGAACGATATTGCAATAGTAAAAAATTGTAGATGTAGAGTTAAAACGTGAAAAAGGTTTAATTGCCTCTCTATTTTCTTACAATTTTATAAATATTTAAAGAAAAATAGATTTAATATCTAAATTATGGGTTTAATATTGATTTAAAATTAAAACGTTTAAATTAAATAGTTATAAATACGCAAAATTGAAGTGCTTTTGTTTTTTATTAACAATTAATGAATACTACGGCGCCCTCTCTTTGCAAATAAACTCCCATGTTTGTTAAATTTGTAATGTTATTTTGAAAGTTGCGTGATCTAATTTTTCTTCTCCAAATTTTTTTTTTTAATATTATTACCATTTCAATTTTTCTAGACTCTATGATGGTAAACTATCTCGAAGTAATGAGTGATTTTTAAAGCTTTTTATGTGTGCGTAAGACTCAAGTCAGCGAGACCAATGATTAAAATTTTTTTCCTAAGGAAATAGAATAAAGTTATATTCAAAATAAATTTTTTCTCTACAACCGTTTGCTAAAAGTGCGAGCGATTGAAGTAGTTTCCCGGCCGCTCTTTTGTGCATCTCTAGTCGGAAGATAAAAAGAGCATGTTGCACGCTCGAATGTTAAAGATAAGGAGAGGGCGTAATTAGCACAAAGGGAATATAAATTCGAAATTAATTCAATCTTGATGCAGAGCGGCCGAGTGCGGCCGACTTGATTTTAATTAAAATTTCATAAACCTTTTGAAATTGACCGACAAAGCGGCGGCGCGGCTGCGGCTGAATAATGCAGAGCGATTCTCTCCCATGGTGTGCGCGAGTGTGGGCCGCACGCCAGCCAGCCAGCCAGCCGTGGAGGGGATGTTTCACCAAAGGGTTGCCACTTAACTGGATATGGAGTTTCAGCAAACACTATCATCGAGCCTCGAGGGCCGCCACAAAAAGAGATAACAACGCGAATTAGCAGCGCGATTCGCCTCGAGGGCCGAACGTTTTCTCTTTGAACTCTTTTTTTTTATTTGACAATTTTTATAATTATAACCGCGAGGGCATTTGTGATGAAATATGTACTTTTCTGGTGAGCCCGAGAGAAAAGCTTTTTATCGCGTGTAAATGGAAAAGCGTGTTTTTGCGGCGTTGTTGGCTCTATTACCGCCAGTTGATTACCGCTGGCTGATCAATGGATGGACCAGCTTTTTGTTAACCTCCTTGTCATTGCTGGTAAAAAGCTTTGCCATCAGCGGCGCCGCTACTAAAAGTGCTCTCGCTCTCTCGCCGTGTAATGTGAAATCCATACACCCCGGCTACATAATATGCTACTTTCCGAAATTCCCCGCGTCCACACCCACCGGTTTATGTCATTTTATTTTAACCGCTAATGGATCCTTTAATTATTACATTACAATGTCATTAGCTAATTAATAAGGGAAAGGATAGTCGTGTTTTATTCGTTTATAGCGAGACCCGCCGTTATATCGCACACGACTGTTGTTGGCAAAGCATTTTCTCACTGGTGTTTTTCGTCCAACAGAGATTCACACTTTGTAATTGTGAATGCGCAGATTGTGTTAATTTATGTAGAAAAATTAAAATTTAATATAATTTTAACTTCTTTCATTTAATCTTTTAATCAGATTAACCATGTATTGTAAAATTAAATTAAATAAGATATTTTCTATAATTTTTATCATTCTTTACTCACAGATTTTTTTAACAAGTTACATTCAATTCTTGTTTAAGTATCTAAAATGAACTTTTTTGTTTTTTATCATAATTACATACATTAGTCACTGCAGCCTCAATAAACCTAATCTAATTGTAAGATTGATCAAACGTGTTTATCAGATTCCTCAGTGAAGGTGGTGCAAGATGGTACTGAAATTATATGAGTAAAATTCAATCTATTTATTTTATAATAATTAACTCCATCAACAGAAATTATTACATGATTAATCACTCAAATTCTAATAAAATATGGAATTTGTAATTGTAAAAAATATTTTGATAATTCTTTCTTTATTGGAAATTCATTCTTCCTCAAAATCAGGCATTGAAATTAATTGAGATGATTAAATTTGACACTTTTTGACATTTTCAATTACTTTTATTTTTATAACATCAGAAAGAAGATCTGCATGTTTAATATGCTTTGAATATTATGTTAGGGCTTTTTTTGGAAGGCCTTATTTGTAATAAAAAGCACTGATCAATAATACAATTTGTTTAGGAATGATTGATTTAAAATTTGTATTTAAAGTCAAACAAAAACGTACAAAAACGGCTTTTTGCGCTTAGCAGGAAAATTTCACTCAAGGGTCAGTTCGATGGTCAGATGTCGATTGGAATAAAAATCTGGTATGAAAAACATTGAAAAAAATGGAAATCTCTCTCTCTCTCTCTCTCTCGTTTTCCTCTCTTCACAGAGCCAATCATAAATCAATCACTTAAAGCAATGAGGCAAAACAAAAAAGTGCGTGTGTACAGGCTGTGTGCGCGAAACGATTCGCGACTGATTGACAGCAAGCTGTTCTCTCTGCTGACGCTCGATTACGCGCGCATGGAAATTTTCCGCGCTGAAAAAGTTTGACAGGCATGACCTCGCAAATTACCGCTGATGAGATGGTGAAAAGAGGAAAAACGAGGGGGCGAGCGAGAGCACAAAGTCCCCCAGCATGGCAATGTCACCCGCAGGAGCAGTGCTGGCCAGAAATGAATTTTTGTGACACTCGTGCGTCCGTTTGTGACGAACGACGTGGAGGCAAATTTCTGTAATTGCGCTGAGCATAAAAAAATATAGTTACGAATTTAGAGAGTAATACAATTTTGTAAGCGAATGAGGTAAAATTATTATATTAAAATTCAGAGAAAATCAAACTGACTCTATTAATTGATTTTTATGTCAAATTTTTATTATTAATCTTCTCAGTTGATACATAATTTTTTAAATCTGAAATCTAAAAAAAAAAAAAAAATAAATAAAAAGGCACATTTATATCCTTATAGATCATTGCGTAGTGATTAAGGGAAAATTTACATTAAAATTACTAGGTAGGCAAAAATAGAAAGAGGTTTAAACTTTCAATGATTCCTTAGCAAGCTATGAATTAAAATCAAACATTTTTATCATCAAAATAATTTCTGAAAATTATATACCAAGATATTTTGATTATGTTAAAGTGGACGCGATCTCAATTTTCAGCATCTCAAACTGATATGATATCAAGCGTACAATACAGTGTAACTGACATAAAAGTAGAAATTACTTGTTAGATTTTTAGCCAGCTTAAAACAAATACACGAAATTATAAATTATGGGAATTTTTATAGTTTTTAAATAAGTCTTTTTTTATTATTTTGTAATTACAAATTATATTTCACAATATTCTCCATTTTCATTGTATTAAATTAACACATGATATTATTAAAAAAAAGTGTGCTACTGCCATTCATTAAATTTTTTTGCAATATTAACTTCAAATATACATATATAAAGGCAATAGCACAGATCATTACAATGATTACAAATATATCATATTCTTTGTGAAAACTTCAGTAGTGAAAAGATTTTCTTCATTTACCGTAGACCGCATTAATGGTTTTTCTTATTTGAATTTATTGACGATGCTTATAATTATACCTTTTACACATAACACATAATTGATGGGCCAAATCTAAATATGTATAATTGTAAATGCCAATCGCTTATTTAGAAATTAATTGGAGAATTTGGATCGCATTGCATTTTGGGAGAGGGAATGTATTATTGGTGTTTATTTGTCCATATTGGTACAATAAATTTAGTATACTTGAGGGCGATCCATTTAATTTGTCAAATAAATGTGCGCCGTGTGCGTTTTGTTTGTATTTTCCATTCACATACACACAATAATTTGTATTTCATGCTTCTGGACCCGAACGCCGCGTTCATTTGTCCGTACGTCGACTCGCTCTTTTTTTAATCAACCCGTGGACATGAAGCTGAAATTAAATTTCTAGCTGGCTTGCTTGCTCACTTTGATGACAATGACGGCTGATGTGAGAGAGAGAGAGAGAGAGAGAGAGAGCTGCTGTTGTTATTTTTTTAATTAAAAACGCAATCAATAAAAATATTGCCGGGGCGAGAGAGTTTTGAAGAGGCCAATTTTAATATGTTTTTGCGCGAGAGAGCGCGCCAGTTAATTATCGCGTCTGCGAGTGACACTTGTGCTAATTGTTTATTAATGCCGGTCTCCTAATTGGTCGGGCCTTTCTGTTGCAGATGTGAAGCGCGACGGCCAGCATGACCATGGACGTCAAAGCGGAACCTCAGACCAAGGCATCGCAGGAGTGCGCCGGTTGCGGAAAACGAATCACTGAAAGGTAAATTTAAGTCTATACTTCTTCAAAATTTATTTCCTAAAGCAAAACAATTTGAGCATGAATTTAAAATTTAAATTGCTGATAGATTAATTGAAAAATAAATTATTAGAAAAATAAAAAATCAGATTATATGCAATTTGTTTAATTTTGCATTGATCTTGTGAATTATGGAAAAGAAAAATATTCAAAATAAATAAAATATGTATTCATATCTACATATTTTTTGGTTTATTAGCTTAAAAAACATACGGGGAAACTGTAATGAGATGGATCCAATATAATTTTTAGTTTAGATCTTTGAAACAAAAAATTTTACGCAAATTGAAAATCAATTATCAATTATAATGCAGGCAAATTTTTTAATGATAAATTATAAATCATTGAAATAGCATTGAAAAATAATAAACAATCAGATTTTGCAATAATTTTTATAACTTTGCATTTCATCATTTTTAACGATTTTATTTTATGGTTATGTATTGAATAGCAAAGGATTGAACTTGCATTTACAGAAAAATTTCTTGTCAGTAAAAGATTTTGTTTGATGTAGGTTTCTGCTTAAGGCGCTTGACCTTTATTGGCACGAGGATTGTTTGAAATGCGGCTGTTGCGACTGCAGATTGGGCGAGGTGGGATCAACTTTGTACACCAAGGCAAATCTCATCCTCTGTCGACGGGACTATCTCAGGTGATTTATATTTTTAGCAATTTGTAGGTCACTTGTTGGCCCCTCCCCAAATACGCTTGAACAAACAAAATTCTTTCATTCCATATTTAAGGTATTTTTTTTTTTACATGCAAAATTGTACTCTAAATCTGGAATATTGTGATTAATAATCAATTGAATTGAAAAAATGTAAAGTTGAGAACTGGCTGAGAATTAATTTGAAACGATTTAAAAAATATTTTTTCACCCTTAATGTACAAAAATTTCATTTGATGGGATTTAGAAGAATTATTATATTAATATTTTAGAATTTAAGAAATTTCCTTAATCACGTTTATGTGAACTCATTTATTTTATGGAAAAATTTAATCAAAATTCTCAATCCATCCTTCCCATCTTCCCATATTACAACACATTGATTACCTTTTTTAGTAGAAATTCTAGACAAAGTTTTCAAGCGAAAAGCAATCCCTCTCATTATTTGTATGGAATCTCCTCAAGGTTGATAATTTTTTTGTCATTTTCCTTGGTTAATATAATATTGATTTCAAGAAATCATAATATGATATTGCAGTAAATTTAAATTAATTTAAATTTTTTACTCCTTTTCCTGTTCAAGGTTGTTCGGAAACACGGGGTACTGCGCGGCATGTGCCAAAGTGATTCCAGCCTTTGAGATGGTGATGCGCGCCCGGTCCAATGTGTACCACCTCGAGTGCTTCGCCTGTCAGCAGTGCAATCACAGGTACGCCCTTTCGCTATCTTCACCCCTTATTGGCATGCAAACGTCCGTAAAATTCAAATCGCGCTCCTGATAAAAGCCGAACGGAAGCCAAATTGCGAATTTATTCCAGTGCGCATTAAAATAAGAAAGACATTAGGGTCGGGAATTTATGCGACGAAATCGGGCCGATTATCAGAGGAAGGAAGAGGAGTGGTTCCTCCGCAAGAGTCGCAGGTGTTGCGTCCAACATTGAAATTTATGGCCGGTGATTATTGCGGGCGTGGGCGATTCCTGGCGCTGCCCGCCGGGTTGCATAAGTGTCCGAGTTTAAATCGCCAGGTGATGAATGGCCTGGTCTCTGCTCGGCTGCCGCGTTTAACTGTGAAATATGTCGAGGTATTAGCCGCGCCTAATGGATACTAACTGTGCCGGATCATTATAAATTGCGACTCGCAATCTGCCCTCCAAATTTTAAACCTGAGCGACGAAATATTTCATGCGTTGTTTCAGCACTTTTGTCAATCACTCACTCTCGGGTATTGATCCATTCTGGTGACACCTTCATTGATCTCCTTCCGTATAATTGGCAAACTTTTCAAACTGGAAAAAAGGCTATTTTATTTTACATAAAAATTAACTCACTTCAAAATGATAAATATTTATGAGCCATTTTTTTAGCTCTCGACATCCATTCAAAATTATTGTACCAAGGATAAGAATTAATTATAAAAAATGCAGTTCAGTAATAATAAGCATGATTTTTACCATCGAATTTAACAAATATTGCAGAAAATTTTTTCATTTAACATGAAATATAATTAAACTGTTAAAAGTTTCTTTTGAACTTTAAACAATCCGGATTTCAATTTAACACGTTCAAGAAATTTATAGACACATTATATAATAACGATTTTTATTTTCATTGGGCGAAAAACTTTTCTCATAAGTGTTGAATACAATCACATTGTATCAAACTGATTGAATAACAGGCACATAAACTGAGTTGTCCTTCAAACGGCAGACGTAAAAGTAGCCGCAGAGCGAGGCGATCAACGTGATTGCCACGAAAAATAGGGTGACGTAGAGAACCATTTTTTGGGTTTTGTGCAGTTCTTCTTCACTTTTGAGGATCTCCTTTGTCTGCACGTTGCCCTTTCCCCCCTCGGCCGCGGCATTAGTCTGATTTTGGTCAGCCAGAGTTTCATTCTGAGCGTCCGACAGCAACTCGGTTGAGAGGGTAGTCGAGTTTTCTGGAACTTCTTCTTCATAGTAGTAGTCAAAGTCTAGGTCGGACTGTCCGAGTGGGCACTGGCCATCTTCGGTCAAAGGACCGGTCACGTTGCAGGAGGCTGTTTCTGAAAGAGGATGCAGCGAGGGGGTCGAATCGTTCTCAAGGGAGGCTGTTCGAAGGACGCAAAATGCGAGAAAAACGACGAAAAGTGGAGAATTCATGGTTCAAAACTTTCAAACGCCAACAAAATGAATTTTCAGTCAACAGTGATTTTGAATCTCTTTTTTTCCAACAATACAACTTGTTGCCTATCAACATTGTTGGAAAGTAAACATAAACAAAAATAGTCGAAATAACTATGTACCGTTTTATTAAAAAAAAAAGGTTTTTTTACGATGTTGTATGGCTCAATATTGCAAGTTTGCATATGAGAATAAAAAAAATTAATAAAAAAAAAATGGAAATTAAGATTTATTGCAAATTGTTTTCCTAAAAAAAGGAAATTTAATTATATCCACTAATTTTTAAAAATCATAAAATATTTTTACTTTGAATATTGTTTTCTTGGTACTTTTTTTAATTATAAAAAATAATCACTATCTTTTGATAAACCTATTTTTCAAATAATAATTGAAATAAAAATAAGGTAGCTGATATTTGCTGAAAAACTTTATTTTCTTTTCCAGGTTACAATTTTCAACTCCATCTATTTTCTCTTCAGCTCTAAAAATTGGCTGTGTTTTTTCAAACAAACGCATGTAAGCAAGAGTAATAAAAATACCCCCTATGCTGTACCAAGTCAAGTTACAGATCCATAAAAAAAAATGCAATTTCATTTCACCGATTTATACATGTTATGGAAAAATCAAATCTGACGAACACACTCACGCACATTTTCCGCAATAACAGTTAATAAAATCCCCCCACGGAAAATGGAAAAAGTGCAGTGGCGGTCGGTTCAAAAATGCATTAGCGTTGGCAATAATGGCCGGGCGCGCGAGGCAATAAGAGAGATTTTCGGCTGCATCTGCTCTCGTTTTTCGCGTGTTTTATTCCACGCGGCTGCGAAACCTGCAGCCACGTGGGCAGATTACAAAAGATGAGGCGGCAGCTGCTTTGATATTGCACCAGCGAGCAGGCACTCCATCAATATTTATCCACTCTCTCTCAAGAGAATTGATCCTAAGGGGTGTATAAGAGGGTGTAGCAAGAAAGAGAGACAAAGCCGCGTTAAGCATTCATAACTTTAGCGCTCTTTTAAGAAGACAGACGCACACACCACGCAGCCAGGCTATATTTATTTTCGCCATCACGTACTGCGAGTTTCACACACGCAGTAGGCAGATTTCCCCATCCTCATAAAACATACAGACACGAGAAGCTCTTGTCCAAAAATAAAAAAAAAACGCGTATACGAGCTCCGGAAAAACATATACATTGTGGGCCTTTAGTGCTTGTTCCATCTCTCAAAGTGTCACTTGCATTTTATGTTGCGTCAAGTTCCCCGTTTATTCTAACCTTTCACACAGAAAGTGACAAAACAAATTTGTTTTATTGAAATAATAAAAGATTTTTTTTTTTCAAATTCATAGCATGGCTATTATAATAGAATTCACTTAATTAATTTTAATTTTTCCATATATTATTTCATGTTAAATAAATTGTAAAGGTCTACTAGAAAATCTTAAAATAATATTTTGCGTTTAGTTTTTTTTTTAACCAAAGGGGGAAATTACTAACAAATTTAGATTGCAAGTTAATGAGTAAAATTTCCCAAAATTCACAAATTTTATATTAAAATTAAATAATCTTTTTATTATTACACTCTGAAAAATGGCTTTTAAAACACTAATAGAATAAATATAAAGTGAATTAAAGAAAATTTATCATAAAGGAAAAAAAATCTTAAATGTTCAGAATGGAACCTTTTAAAAATACAAATAACTTCATTGAATTTTTCTTTTTATATGTCTTTATATAGCTATCAAGATTCTAATATTTCTTTATGCACGAAAAAAATAGTGATAGAGATTAAATCTAATTTAAAGTGTCTGGTTGATTAAACAATCTCTAATGGGAATTGAAAAATAAAATTAATAAATTTAACAATTTCGATCCTAAGCGCATTAAAAAAATGTTTTAAATTAGAAACTCATTTATTCTGATAATTTTCCAACCCCTTTAATATAAAACAGAAACATTTTGTTGAATTTTGTGTGAATTTCCTTCCCATATTTTTACCCTTCAGGAAATATCACAATGAAAAATGGTGCTCGCGAGCTGGAAAAATCCAATGTTTTGTTACAGGAACGTCTGCGTTGAATAGTCATGTGGCAGAGCTCGCTGGTTTTGAAAAATAAATAACTATATTGGCAAAAATGCCGCTTTTCACGTCAGAGCGGCGGCGTCAATCTTTGCTCTGGTGTTGTTGCACATTGTTGTTGCCCCGTCTGAATGAAAAGAAACAAGCGGTGGCAAAACGAGAGGAAGACTTTCAATCACAAAACGAAACCCAGCAACGACACCGCCGCCGCGTTTGTTTATTTATTTCCAATGCCGTCGACAGCCGAAGTCAAAAGACCCTTGGAATAATAATGCTGAGGAAAAAACGTAACGAGAAAACTTGATTTGAAAAATTGAATTCCATGAAAAATATATCTTATAATGTTCATGTTATTTTTAATGTACCATTTCTCTACTCCTAAATTTAATTTAATTTTAATCATTTCTCATTTTTATTAATTGCTTGAGATATAATTCATTTTAATTATATCATTCAAATTGCACACAATTTTTCTAAAATTAAAATCGGAAGTTTTTCACGATATGAATTTTGTCTTTTGTATATTAAAATTCCTTTTATTTTACTAACATCAATTATTATTCATTATTGCTAATAGGTGCCTGTATATTTCAAATAATTTACTTACTTTTCATTCTGGGCATATGTTAAATTTATAAAAATAAATTGGTTTCAATTAAATCTATTTCATTTAAAAGTTTCAAAACAAATTTTCTTTAATTTTATAAAAATTTATATAAACATAATTTATTTCATCGATTTAAAGTATATTGAAGATTTGATAATTTTATTTCACAGCTAAATTTAAAATTTTGATCATATTTCCACAGGATATTACCCTTTTCTTACAACCTCTCCAATGAATATTCATTACGAAGCGTTCTCCAAATTTCTTCGAGAACATTTCCAAACTTTCCTCCTTTCCCTCTCGGCGCCGTGTATGTAATTAAAGAGCGAAAGAAACCAGGAGGGGGTTGAGACGGAGCCAAAACAGAACGATTCTCCGGCTAATTTAGTCGGCGTGAATAATTCATGCGGTTTGAAATTTATAACAATTTGGCCGAGCGCGCGCGCTCGCGCGACCAGAAGTTTGCCTGCGATTTTCCCACAACGGGCATAAAGCCGCCTTCGGTCCCAGTAGGCGCTTTAGCACAATGGTCGTCTAGTGCACGCCAAACTTCTTCTCGCTCTGCTCCCGAGCCACACAATTGTAAATTGCAAAACACGTGCGGAAAGGCACAATGCATAACAATAAGTAGCCGGTCTCGTGTATAATGACACGCAGGAATTAGCTCGAGTTAGTCGAGGGGCCTCGCGCGCGTTATATCCCGAATGATATATTAGACCTTAAGTTAACTTTAATTGCGTGGGGATTAGGGTAACTCCTTCATTAATCACATAGTCTGATAATCTTTTGCACCGCCTTGTGTGTATTAACTTTGCTAACTTCATCATCTCTCTCTCTCCATCTCTCGGCAAATTCCGCCG